AGTACTGAGCTTTTTTCTAAATTATTTATTTTCTCGAGGTCAACTATTCTTACCTTAGCTAAATTCTTATGTTCTGACAATCGGATTACCCCCAATCTACTAGTGTGACCTATATAGTTGACTTCACAGTGATTGCAGGGTATTTTGTAAATTATATTATTTTGTCTAATTACGTCCACCGGGTCTTTTAGCTTACAGAGCTTGTCCTTAACTGAGTTAGTTTGTAGGTTTGAATGTCACCCTAATTCCTGCTTTATTAAGAATCCTACTAGGTAGGGTCTCAGATGTCCCCTGTCGCCTTGTATGACAGTAGATGGCTTATACTCTCTCTTATTTATGTTATCATTACTAGTGCCGGTCAAGTCAGAAGAGGATAATAAATAATCTCGAAATTCTATTTCAATTCGAGCACAACACAACATTCTAACAAGTTACTTATTATAACTATAAAAACACTCGTCTTATTTCCCATCTAATTGGAATTGATCAATAACACTCATACTATTATTTCTCAATGTATACTATCCTATGTTAATTTTTATTTCACAATATCTAGTCAATTCCACACATGTATATAAATGAAGGAAAACGTTGTGTGATTGAGTTACTTGATATTGATTATGAGTGGCGATCATAATTTGTGCTTGAAACGTGGTCATCAGTTAATATTACACTATGTGACTTTTCGAAATGAAATCTATAGTGCACCTATTCTATATATTCTGCCACAAATTTCCAGTAATTCAAAATCACATCGTAGAGACAGGAAGAAACCTTTTTTACAGACAACAGAAAAGATTTTTTTCATAAGTTGGAAAAAGTAATCGGAAAATAAAACTACTTGTGTATTTGTATTATTGAACTACTAACGTTTTTTTTAAAAAAAAGATCAAGAGGCATAAGGAATATCGTCTATTTATCATTAGGTAGAATAAATTAAATGAATATGCCTGCCGCTCCCATTAGTTTTCTGCAAAAAAAACGAATCTACTTGTTCTTTTTTCTTTATTTACGCTTATCTAAACATCTGTGTCTTATAACTGAAGATCATTAGTGAATACATAAAAAAATTACAAAATATTTAATATACTACTGATTAATTACACATACACTTTTCTTACTCGAGTTAAATAAATTAGGCTGAAATATAATCTATATGTATTCAAGTGTCGGTTTGTAGGGATTTGATTGAATTGTTACAGGATTTCATCATGAGCTGACATTGATTAGAGAACCATTGGAAAACCAACACTGGAGTACTGGACAGCTGTTTCGTCAGCCTGGTTTGGGACTCTTCATGAGTATGCACCCACCTCACTGGTGTTCGAACCCAGGACCTTCTGGTTACAAGGCTAGCGAGCTCGTATACCATTAAGCCGAAGGGAACCGATCCAATGGCCATGAATTCCAACTTCTGCCAATTCACGATATAGTGCGACTGCTAGCCATTGTCTTCGGTGGCGAGTATCTGTCCTCATACCCGACCTGGTGCACCATACTGGTCACGACTTCCCACCTGAACTCCAGGTAACTACCTACCTGAATAGGGCAAGTCGCTAGTGAGCATCTCATCGATATTCAAGTGTTGGTTTGTAGGGATTTGATTGGTTACAGGATTTCGACTAGTTTTTCGACTCTTCAGCAGTACCTACTTAAATTTTTTAATAAGTTGCAAAAGCTATTAGGACAAAACTACCTGTGTATCGAACTGCTAACGTTTTTAATAAAAGACCACTAGGCATAAGTGATATCTATTCATCATTAGGTAGAATAAATTGGATAAATATGCCTGCCGCTCCCATTAGTTTTCTGCAAAAAAAAACAAATCGAAGCTACTTGTTTTTTTTTCTACTTACGCTTACCTAAACATCTGTGCCTTAAACTAGAGATCATTTGTGAATGAATACATAAGACAAATTACAAAATATTTAATATACTACTGATTAATTACACATACACTTTTCTTACCCGAGTCAAATAAGTTCGGCTGAAATATAACCTACATATCTTGTTTGGAATATTTGAAGCTAAGGACTCATCAATCCAAAAAGTCGACTACCAACCACTGACTGACTAGTTTCAACGTAGAACTTTGCACCGACCTGCAGAAGTTCAAGTCGCCACGCCTCACTTAGCACACAAAGCTAGAGAAGATGAAAATAAAAAGAAGTGCAGAATAGTGACAGTGAACGGAGATATGAGGCAAAAAGAATAGTAATATCGAAGAGCATTAGAGTTTTATTGGATATTATAAGTCACAAGTATTGGATGCGTCTATTCCATTGAGCCATATCACCGATTGTCTCCAGCCTTCATTGGTTTTTACCGTCCCGAGGACCCCAACCAGTCAGTCAGGAAGTTTACACCTTCCTACGTGACTGACTGGCTGGTTGAAACTAACTGTTGTGGATTTAATTGACTGATAAGGTCATGTTTTGGTTTGACCACCATTCACTAGCTATTTTCCAGTTTGATCCATATATGTTATCTAGGAAGGTGATGGCTAGACATGCATACGTAACACATGTCCTTACCATCTAAATTGACGTCACTTCACAGTCCCTCGTCTATTGATGTCCCCTCTCACCTACCTAGCCCTAGACCGACGCCTTAAATCAATATTGCTCACCTTATTACACCTACCACTTCAGACGGGAGATAGAACTCAGACACCTATGATCGAAGACAGCTAATCTTTTCATGTCTTCCACTCTCAATGACCAGGACCAACAAATCACTGAATGGATAACTGGTTTAAACCTTGTTCCGCCTAGCGAGGTTTGTGTGTGCACCAGATGCATGTGGGGAATGTGGCGCCGTGTATGTAGGAGAAACTCGTAGACAGGTATAAGAGTGAAAGAGCATAAACACTGCTCAAACATTTTCTTCTTTTTAATGAATAACAGCAATTTAGGTGTTGTGAATCATTAAATTAGTCATTTCGCTCCCGCTAAATGTAAGATGATGTTAGAGGACTGGACTACACTACACTGACACATAGTTTAGAAATAGGAAGTGAAGTGGTAAAGCACGTTGACCACTTCACTTCTTTGAAAAGTAAAATCAGCCAACGTCAACGGGTTGACCACTGACAAAATCTCAGCACGTATACAGAGGGCTAGTTTCGAATATACCAGTTTACGCCATCTTTGGCTTAGTAGATGTGATATCCGTCTAGCTGGCAGTCGACCAAAGGGCGGGTGTGCTGCTCAGTAGTCCACTCCGTCCTCCTTCATGGCTGGCTGTGATACCTGGTCATTGAGAGTGGAAGACATGAAAAGCCTGGTTGGTTAATTGTCTTCGATCATAGGTACCTGTACTCTATCTCCTGTGTGATGTGGTAGGTGTAATAAGGTGAGAAATACTGCTGTTGGGCGTCGGTCGAGTGACAGGTAGGTGGGAGTGGAAATCAATCGACGAGGCTATGAAGGTGTTACATCGACTGAGATGGTAAGAACATTTGTTACGGATGCATACCTAGCCTAGTCATCATCTTCCTCGACAACAAGAAATGTTAGCTGACATAGGGTGAGGCTGGAAAAGAGCTAGCACATGGCGGTCAAACCAAAACATGGCTTCATTGGTCAACGAAATCTACAACATGGAGGATTTAATAATAAGCTGACATCAGTTATAGAACCACTGGAAAACCTGGGAGTACTAGACAGCTGTTTCGTCCTAGTTTGGAACTCTTCATCAGTTCGCACTCGCTGGGGTTCGAACCCAGAACCTTCTGGTTACAAGGCAAGCTCGTAGACCATTAAGCCACTGGGACCCGATCAATGGTCTACGAGCTCGCTAGCCTTGTAACCAGAAGGTCCTGGGTTCGAACCCCGATGGGTGCATACTTGTGAACTGAGGAGTCCCAATCTAAGATGGAACAGCTCTCCACTACTCGCAGGTGGTTTTTCAGTGGTTCTCTAACTAATATCAGTTCATGATGAAATCCTCCATACAATCAAACAAAATCCCTACAAAACAAATACTCCAAAGCCTCAGGATGGTCGGGGGTGGGTGTCTTGCGCTGCGGGTTGGCCACCCCTCCGTACACCTCTTGAAATGCTCCCATATGACCGGGCGTCTTACATAGCCTCTCCTGAGGAAGTCCTACTCACTGCCTTCACGTGGCGGAGGTGTTTTTCACCAAAGTGAGAGGGCAAAAGCGGATGCCCGGCGCTCTTCACCGGGTTGACTGTCCATTGGATGACAGTCTAGGGGAGATGGCTAAACCCTGATTCCAAACCTCCAACAACTGGCGTATGAAGCTCACCGGAGCTCACCGGCAGACGTATGGACAAAGGGCTTGTTGGATGCCCTGGATGACTGGCCCCATTCAAAAAGGCGTATGGACCGGACTCCGGTCACCGGCTGCCAATGGATAGTGGACTCCCTACTCCACCCCTACTGCCTTGTAGGTCACACTTGGTTGTGTAAAGGCTAGAGCTGCACTCTCAAACAAAAGGCCGAGCGATGCTGGGCCATCACTCGTACCCGATTCCCGTGAAACTTCATGGTTCATGAAGCCGGTTCATCCTCCCGTAGGAGATAGCCGAAGTAAAGTAAGTAATACTTCAAAATCCACAATAGTTACTTTAAGCCAGCGAGTCACCTAGGAAGGTGTAGATTTCATGGCTGTTTGAAGTCTTCAAGACGATAAAATCCAAAGAACGTTGGAAATTATTGGTTATATGGCTCAAAATCGTGATAGTGCGGATGCATCCACTCCTTGTGACTTATAATATCCAATGAAACTATATTGTTCTTCGATATAACTATGCTTTTTGCCTTATATCTCTGTTTACTGTTTCTAGTTTGATTCTTCTCTGGCTTTGTTTGCTACGTGGATGAAGTGTGGCGACTCTAACTGATGCACATCGGTGCAAATTTCTATGTTGAAACCAATGGCGCCCAGTTATTTAGTTTTATTGTTATTATCATTGTAAGGAATTATTGTGTAAATGTTTCTTCCTCTACATTTTATTATTTTTTTAAATATTTAGATAAACAAATTCAACAGTTATTTAGTATACGATCAGAATTAGATGCACGAGTTGAAGAATTGGAATCCCAGTTAAGAGAAGAACGTAAACGTTCAGAAGCACCACCAACTTCACGATATGATTCTAGAAATCGTGTGAATACAGCAAACACTGAAGATATAAAACATGAATTACAACGTGAGTCGCTTTCTTTCTTTTCAAGTATTTTCAAGCATTGGTTGTTTTTTATTGAAGTGAAATGCTCAGTGTCTCTGTGTGTGTATGTGCCTGTGTGTGTGTTGGTTGACATGTCATAACTCCTAGTAGGAACGTCTTCGATACAGTGTCTCTGAGGATTGATGCGATACACGTCCTAATCCTATTTTAGTCTCATCTTCTGGTTGGAGTTTGAAATGATGAGTGTACAGCTTGAGTTCCAGTGAGACACAACTGATACACCGAACTGACGAGTCACAAATAGGACGAAATCCACATCCCGGTCAAGTCCATTGATGAGCAGTCATCACTATCAGCCAAAATATATAGAATTATGTATCATTACAGTATTATTGTCGCGTGCGCTACTGATAAGATTCATCATAAACAACATCAAATAACAGGGAGATACATTCGATGTCAGAAAAACGAAACGATACAGCGTATCGGCGGAGATACATCGAAGAAGACGTGAAAAGAAAACAAATAATCGCTATATGAGGGAAGGTGAGAAGTAGCAGGCACAACACTCAAGATCTGTGCATATGGTGCGCGTTGAAGATATATGTATTGTTTTGTATTGTTCCCTTGGGTTCCTAGTGGAACATACGGCTTCAACTCCACATCTCCACTTGCTTCTGTCTTCTGCTCTACTTTTCACCTGCATCCATTCATGTTAGTCCATACTGTTTCAACCAACTCCTCCTCCATGTCACCCACCCTTGCACTGACGTCTCACTCGCCGCTTCCCTTTCGGCCTGGTTCCACTCGACCAATGGCCTGACGCGCGCGCCATTTCACCCAGCCGCCTCCTAAGCCACGAGTGTCCAATCCATCCATCTCCACTTTCTCCTGTATATTTGTTGGTTGGCGATTGGTTTGTTCTTGTTTCGTTCGTTTCTTCCCATAGTTTCTTGTTGGTGATTGGTTCCGGCCCGGCCCGGCCATCTGATCTTCAGTATAGATCCAGCGAAGACAGTTGATGGTTGATAAAGGCAACGTCTGCAACAGGCTGATGATTGTGGAAATATTCTTTGTGACCTGCCCGCCAAGTTTCTCATCCGTATAGAAGAACTGACTGACTTGACCACGTTTGTATTGAAGATCCGACCGAATTTTGTTGTTGATGCTGGCTGAGTGACGAAGATTGGTTTTCCAGATTGGTTTCAGGTTGATGATGATGAATGTGTTTCTCACTCGCCTTCCCGATTCTCGCTCGATTTAATATCCTCGTCCGTTCGGACTGTCTGTGGTTGGGACAATGCTCAATGCTAGATAAGTGAGTGAATGAAGTAACCTCTTTCAAATCCCTTCATCGCGTTGATGGTGAATGGCGCTGGATGTTGCTTTTATTGTTGTTGGTTGGCTATTTTCATAACCTCCATCTTGTCTATGTTCACCTGGATGGAGTACTGTCTTCTCTGACTGCTTCTTCGACCGGCCAGTTTGTCGGTCGGTTTTCGCTTGTAAGTCTTCGATTTTGTGTGACATCAAACATCATCAATCATCCACGCGCGAAATTCAGGTCTTTTAGACTCTTCACGTCGGTCCAGGCTATCAGTCCCTGTCTTCTCGTTTCCCACTGTTTGACGCATAATCCAGTCAGTCCACCACAATTAGGAATAACATTGGTGATGATAGGCAGGCACCCTTGTCTGACTCCTGTGTATATTATTTGACTATATGCTGAGATACCCATTCGCAAATAAACATTCTTGTTTTTACCAAGTCCTTCATCTTTCTACGCTTGCATTAGTTAGTAATACTATCTTTTGAAATCTGCGTAGTAGTGTCTTTCTTTTTTGTTTTCTCCCTTGTGTTGCTGGTAATAATTAGTCAAATGTGTCCGTTTTTTGTGTTAGTCTGTTAAGCGGATGATTGATGTCTTCTACATAATGATGGGTTAGTTTTGTCTGGCGAGCAAAAAGATCTTATAACAAATGTTTTTTTTTAAAAAAAAATTTTATTTTGAATGTGTATGCGGTTGTATTTAATGTTCCCAATGCTTAAATTGTTGTAATTTCTTGTTTTTTTCATTTGCTCTGGACATCTGAGTGGAAACTGTATACGGCTTCTGTATGCCTGTCTGTTTCGACATAGAACTTTGCACTGATCTGCGGAAGTTCAAGTCGCCACACTCCATTTAGCACACAAAGCGACAGTAAAAAGTAGAAGAAATGCATAACAGAGACAGTAAACAGAGGTGTGAGATAAAAGGAATAATAATAATGAAGAACAATATAGTTTCATTGGAAATCATAAGTCACAAGGAGTGGATGCATCTTTGCTGTCATTGAGAACGATTTTGAGCCATGTTACCATCAGTTGTCTCCAGCCTTCATTGGTTTTACCGTTCCCAGGACCCCATACATGACTGACTGGCTGGCTTAAACTAACTGTTGTGGATTTGATTGACTGATGAAGCCATGTTTTGTTTTGACCACCATTCACTAATTTTTTTTTTGATTTTTGATTTACAGCTTGATTCCACACTGTATTTTTGGTACAAGTATGGAATTTTCAGCATGGATATCGGTAGCCCAAATTTTGCAGGCCGACCATAGATATCAGATGTGCGTCGGTGCGGGCTCGAACCCCGGACCATGTGCATGGTCGGCGAGAGTCCTAACCACTGTGCCACCGACGCTCTTTTCCAGTCTGACCCTATGTCAGTCAGCTAACATTTCCTGTTGTCGGGGAAGGCGATGACTAGGCTAGGCATGCGTGCGTAACACATGTCCTAACCATCTCAGTCGATGTAACCATAGAATTCGTCGATTGATTTCTCCTCCCACCTACCTATCACTCCACCGACGCCTAACCTCATTATCGCTCACCCAATTACACCTACCACATCACACAGGAGATAGAGCGCAGGCATCTATGATCGAAGACAGTTAACCAACCAGGCTTTTCATGTCTTCCACTCTCAATGGCCAGGCGTCACAGCCAGCCATGAAGGAGGACGGAGCGGACTACTGTGCAGTACACCCGCCCTTTGGTGGATAGCCAGCTAGCCGGATATCACGTCTACTTGGCCAGAGATGGTGTAAACTGGCACATTCGAAACTAGCCCTCTGTATCCGTGCTGACATTTCTTCAGTGGTCAACCCGTTGACGTTGGCTGATTTTACTTTTCAAATAAGTGAGGTGGTCAACGTGCTCCTTCAACCACTTCACTCCGTATTTCTAAACTAGGAGTCAGTGTAATCCAGTCCTGTAACCTGATCATCTTAAATATGGCGGGAGTGAATCGCATGTAAAGCATGTTCATAAGACTCTGTTTTACTTTGTCAGCGTCCTCGCCTAGAAGGACTATATCGTCTGCATATTCCAAGTCAACGAGATTATTCCCTGGTAGCAAGTCAATCCCTGAGTCTCTGAAGTGAGTTAGGGTTAAATCCATTAGTACATCTATGATGAAATTGAATAGAAATGGGGATAATGGGCTGGCATCCCTGACGGACACCACTATTTGTCACCAGTTCGGATGACAACTCGCCGTAAGCCCTCACCTGGGTGCTTGAGCTCGAGTAGAATGCTTTAGAGTGGAAACTATATGCGGCTTCAAGTGAAATAATTTTAATACAATCTCCAGTATTTGAAACACAATTCATTATTATTGCTCCCTTCTGGTTCCCGAATGGTACATGGGGCTTCAACAGCACATGTCTACTTTGTCTTATTTTCCGGAGTCATCTTAAACATGTCTCACAATTCCCCGCATAGTCTTTAATCTCTTCCTCGCATGATTTTCTCCATGTCATTACCGTCGGTTGCGGGCTCAAATTGTTGTTTTGCATTCGGTTTCTACTCGTCTGTCTGTCTGTCTGTCTGTTTTCGACATAGAACTATACACAAATGTGCGCCAGTTCAAGTCGCCACACTCCGTGTAGCACGCGAAGCAAGAGAAGAAAGTACAAGAAAAGCATAATAGAAACAGTGACCAGAGGTGTGAGACAAAGGAGGAGTAATAACGAAGAAGAAAACAGTTTCATTGAAGATCATAAGTCACAAGGAGTGGATGCATCTGCGCCAGTCACTGAGAACGATTTTGAGCCATGTCACCAATTGTTTCCAACCATAGATTTTTACCGTCCCGAGGACCCCAACCAGTCAGGAAGTCTACACCTTCCTACGTGGCTTAGACCAACTGTTGTGGATTTCATTGACTGGTGAGGCCAAGTTTTTGTTTGACCGCCGCTAGCTTTTTTCCAGCCTGACCCTATATCCGCTAACATTGCTCGTCGAGGGAGGCGATGACTAGGCATACGTAACACATGTCCTAACCATCTCAGTCTTTGTAACTTCACGACTTCGTCGATTGATTTCCCCTGTTTACCTAGAACTCTACGCCTAACCTCCATGTTGCTCACCTTATTATGCCACTTTACACGGGAAATAGAACGCAGGTACCTATGATCAATGGTCTGGTGCGCGATGTCATACGACGCTCTTCTCAGTGTTCATCCACTCCATCTCTATATTCCTCGGAATATTTGTTCAGCATTTGATCTTCAATATGCAGTCAGCGGAAGAGGACAGGTTGTTGGTAAAGGTCTTCAGTGTGACGCGCACGCCAAGTGCATGACCCATATTATATAGAAGAAGTGACCACCGACGTTTACATTTTGTGATGAAAATCCGGATCTTGTTCTTTATACTGAATGAGTACAGAAGATTTCCAATCTGGTTTCAGATTGATCAAGGCGTATTATCTGGCCTTTCTGATTCTGGCTGGCGCTGACATCTTCATCTGTGTTGTCCGACTGCCAGTGTTTGAAACCATACTTTTTAGTCAGATAAGTGAAGGAATAAAAACCTCTGTCAAATCTCTCTCTCTCTCATATATGGGAATTGGTGCTGGTTGTTGTTGCTTTTGGTATCGTTTAGTTATCTTCATTGCCTCGGTCTTTTCTATGTTCACCTGGTGTCCTGTCTTCTCTGCCAGCTTCTTTTGTTTGTTCGGTTTGGTCCGCATC